ATAGTGCTGGCATCAATGATCCCGAAGGACCAGAAAAATATAACAACACTGAAGTGAAGTACGGGGCAACTTTTTACGGCTGCCACACAGCACTTGACACCTGCTGTTGTGTGAAGTTGAGTCTGTACATGAGGGATAATGAATAAGTTCAACATCCCTCACGCCCCCTAGCACCGGCTTGAGCGGTACTCAATTCTCAACACTTAATAGTGCTGGCATCAATGATCCCGAAGGACCAGAAAAATATAACAACACTGAAGTGAAGTACGGGGCAACTTTTTACGGCTGCCACACAGCACTTGACACCTGCTGTTGTGCTGTTTTTAAGTCACACTTGCGTAGAACATGATTTTGGAAGGATAATGAGGTCAAGTCTTGGTTTTGGGACCTAACAGGCTTATTATTTCAAAGGCAAGGACTGCTTGAAAATTGGTAACATACAATGATGTATATGAGGCATATATTAAAAAATTAATGTTGAAACTATCCTTCAATCTGTAAACTCCCCTCCCCCACCGTAATTTTGAGATAAAGTGAATAAATCTTGTTTAGTTTATCACTATCTCAATTGTGTTTCCGATTTATTTGCTTTTACTATTGTCATAATCATACCAGCAACATTCTTTCCCCGTTGAAACAAGTGAAATGATGTGCATAATCCCCATCTCATCATGGAACAAGCTTTTGTCCTTTTTGAGATTTGGCGGCATCTAGATTTCTTTGGACGTATTAACAGACAAACAGATGGAAAGGGATAGAAAATGAAAATAAATTTCCGTATATTGTTTTTTATCTACATACCAAACTTTATCTATCAAATACTGTGATAAAGTTTATGAAAAGTTAACGAAACTTAAAATCCTTTCTGGTTGATTATTTTAGGTGATATCTAAAATACATCATAAATAAGAAATGTTTAAGCTTCTTCCATAGGTACTAATTTTTTTTCTATTTCATATACAACCTTGCCTTATAATTTAGTTAATGAAAAACTATTTTTTGATAAAGGAAATGTTTTCGAAGGAACAACGTTTCTTCTTTGGCCGCTATGAATTATATAAAATGATTTATTGAAGTTTGATTTTGATCAAATGTTTACAAGTATTTATTCTCATGAACTTAGTCTTTGCCCTGTCCTGTTTCATGCTCATGCTCATGCTCTGTCTTTGTCCTGTCCTGTTTTTGTTTGGGGTCTGCCTGGGCTCCTTGCCACTGGTTCTTGTTGCTGGGTCATATGGGGGTTGCGTTCATTGAACGCCGCCTTTCCTTGTTGATCTTGTATATATTTTAGATTTATTCTTATGGAGTATACATTTTACCATTAATGATGTTTTCATTGGTCTGTTTTTTTCTTGTCTGTCTGTTTGTTTGTTTTGTTGTTGTTTTTTCTTAATTTTACAATCAAAATTTCAAAAGCAACTAAAACAGTTTTGCGATTGAATTTTGCCGCCTGATTTTATAAAGACATCTCGTTTTTATGTACTATGTAAAAAATTATCCTACATCTAAATACGGGCCATGTTAAGAGTAAATGAGGGTCAGTTTTTAAAACTTATGTAATTAAAATTTGATAAATCTGCAATTATTCGGCTGTTTTGAGTTTATAGCGTTCAAATACTTTTCAGTTTAAGTCCATTTTGAACAAAACGGATATATACTGTTGGAAATAATGGTTTGGGCAAATAAGGTGAAATCACTTGTGATAATACAATTATTTTAATGCCTCCTTAATAAACATGTTTCCAATAATTCTAAATCTAAGCAAGTTGCCCATTCTTTACATTTTGATTTTTCATGTTCTTTGTCATTCAGCGATATAGTATCGTGTGCCGCTTTTAAAGAAAGTAACTTATTCTTGATTTTTGTGGCATTTGTTCATCTGTGGTTATCAATTTTACCATTTCACTTCTATCTTTTTTTCGATAATTGTTCTAACTCTATAATTCCGGTCTGTTCTAACTGCTTTTTACGTTTAAACACGAACATTTAACCGTTTCTGGCTTTCTTTATTTTTTTTCTTCTTTGTATGTTTTCAATAAAAATGACTTTTGGTTTTTAGGGTTTAAAAGGTATGTTTATTAAGAATAAATACAGCTTTGTCTTCAGATTTAGCGTTGGTTTTTTTTTATCTTTTTGGAAAATACAGCAAATTTAATATTTTTTTAGATTTCTGAACGATACAGTTTAACAATTGACTACACAGTGTTCTAAGAAAGGTCAAAAGAATGTTCATTCCATTTACTGCTGTATGTTCTAATGTTAATGTCAAAAAGTGAGAAAAATCTGCGACCGGGCCGGGACTCGATCCCGTTACCCTCGGGATACCGTTTGCAGCTCTGATATCCGGTCGCATACACACATTCCTAGCAATGAGTGATTGAACAGTATTGTAGCAGTATTACATATCCTCCTTTAAGTGATAGTGATTGATAACAGTTCTATATCGTAATATTAACATGATGTTTCATGCAAAGCAAAACACCTTTTTTGAAATCTTCACATGTAACCATTATTTTCTATCATTGCATTAGAATTCTAAATTTCAGATATATATAAAATGTCGTAAACAACGATGGTGGCCTGTATACATTAAATTTTATTATAAACAAAAATATATTTTTCAATGTTATCTACCATGTAAGAAAGAAAGTGGTTCGTGATTTTCTTTTCGAACTGTGACCCCAGTCCTGCAGACTAAAGCGATGCCGCCAACTATTCTGTTCGTTCTATTTTAAGTGGTTGAAATCAAGCCATTTTAGGTCAATTCAGTGGTGTCCTATTTTATTTTCAGTCAAGACTAAATCTTTTTTCAGTTCTCAACTTATTGCCCGAAAATTGCATATTCTATCACAACCGCATGAAAGTTTAAAGTAAGATATATAAATATCCATTGTAAAACTTTTAAAGCATTGATATTCTTTGGATTAGTCATATTATTCAAATTGACCAGTTAATTTTTTTTTAAATTTTGGTCTCCCGCCTCTCTTGTTAGAATGTAAATTATTGCTTGAGCATTATGATATTCATTATTCCCGAATATAATACCTGCATGTTGGTCCTCATATTTGAAGATAAATTTTATCATGTCTACAGTATATTCTCAATAAAATCCGATATAAAAATAATTTATTGCAAAATCGGTTGTGATAAATTTGCAATAAAATTATGTCAACGCAAGAGTTTTTTCAATACAATTATTGCCAAACTCGTTTTAGTGAAAAAAATCATCAAAATTATATCATCGCAACGAGTTTGACAATAACATTGCCCACAATTTCTTGTAAGTACTTGTAAGTTTTGAAGTTATAACAAGGTCATGTATTTGTATCACATAGATTTGAGCTAAAGTGATTGCAAATCTACAGTTGTTTTTGATAATGAAATGTGCATAATTACCATTCTATTATCATACAACATGTAATACAAATAAATGACTTAAAATGTAAGTTTCTGTACAATCATATGCATGTATTCATAATTCCGAATATAATCCCTGCATGTCAATTCTTATATAAAAAGATAATAAAATAAACTTTCTAATGTCTAGCGTATGATTTCAACAGAAATATGATATTGTAATATTTTATTGCAAAAGTCGTTTTTATTGCGAAACCAGTTGTGAAAAAAAATGCAACAAAGTTATGTCATCGCAACGAGTTTTGCAATAAAATTATTAACTCTTTCTTTACAATACTGGTAGGTATGTCATTTATGTATATCACTGAGATTTGAGCACACGAGTTATTGTAAATGTCCATGTCCTAATATTTCATGATGATCATTCTTGCATCATATATATTAAAAGAAAAATAATCTAATTAAATTTAGAATGTAAATTATTGTTTGATCATATGCATATTGTATATTCATTACTCCCGAATATGATCCCTGCAAGTCAATCCTAATATACATAGATAAATTTTATAATGTCTTTTGTATAATCTCAAAAAAATCCGATAGAAAAAATATTTTATTGCAAAACTCGTTTTTATTGCATAACCGGTTGTGATCAAATTGCAAAAAAATCATGTCAACGCAAAGAGTTTTGCAATAAAATTATTGCGAAAGTCGTATTTATTTATTTCTTCAAAGTACTGGTAAGTTAAGACCTTATTAAAAGGTAATGTATGTATATCACAGAGATTAGAGCTCAAGAATTTCCAAAACTGCATTTGTAGTTGTAAATGTGCATGTCCTAATATTTCATGATGATCATTCTTTCATCATATATATGTTAAAAATATATAAAAACTAATGAAATTTAGAATGTAAATTATTGCTTGAGCATTATGATATTCATTATTCCCGAATATAATCCCTGCATGTCAATCCTAATACATGTATACATAGATAAATATTATAATGTCTTTTGTATAATCTCAATAAAATCCGAAAGAAAAAATATTTTATTGCAAAACTCGTTTTTATTGCAAAACCGGTTGTGATCAAATTGCAATAAAATCATGTCAACGCAAAGAGTTTTGCAATAAAATTATTGCGAAAGTCGTATTTATTTATTTCTTCAAAGTACTGGTAAGTTAAGACCTTATTAAAAGATTTGAGCACAAGAATTTCCAAAACTGCAGTTGTTGTTGTAAATGTACATGTCCTGATATTTCATGATGATCATTCTTTCATCATATATATGTTAAAAATATAAAAAAAACTAATGACATTTAGAATGTAAATTATTGTTTGAGCATTATAATATTCATTATTCCCGAATATAATCCCTGCATGTCAATCCTAATATACATAGATAAATTTTATAATGTCTTTTGTATAATCTCAATAAAATCCGATAGAAAAAATATTTTATTGCAAAACTCGTTTTTATTGCAAAACCGGTTGTGATCAAATTGCAATAAAATCATGTCACGCAACGAGTTTTGCAATAAAATTATTGCATATTATATAAGTAGCAATTACAAATAACCTGTACCCAATATAACGTAAATACATAATAAAAGCCTTAACGATACCCGTGACATTTAGTGACATTTATGGGGATGGGTGGGGGCGGGGGCGGGTAGGTGATACTGAATCCTTGGATTATCCATATTTATAAATTTATAAATTACACAAACGTTGATTTCTATCTGTTCGATTACTTTATTGTATATTGTTAAAAATCGTTTCATCAGCAATTATACATGATATACACTATATTTTTGTTGTATGCCATTGAGTATTGAGTAAAGTTCTTTCGTTTCATTATCTGCCGGGAGGGCCTACCGCTAATGTTGTAAGAACTTGGGCCCAACCCGTTTGCTTTTGCTGTTTAGTATACATATGATGAAATTTGTATCTGTATTGTATATACATGTATATATCAATAAAATAAGATTAAACTAAGTAGTCTTTAAAAATAATAATTAATAGTAATATATAGTTATTGAAACAGCAGAAAGATTTGCCAGTCCGTTCGAAGCTATATTAAACCGGCAATTGGATCTATCTTAAGTTAAGCTTTAACTATTTACAAATTAACTAACTAATACAAAGCCAGTGATCTCGGCAAATTAAAGTACTGTGGCTTCCATTTTCCAAAGTCGCTTTTGTTTATCACTTTGAAATCAGGACCTGGTATGGTTACCGTTTCCGGCATGTCGGATATATACTTTTTTCGTCATTTTATCATTAAATTTGACAATTTTCAATTTAACTATAACTTTTGTTGTTTCTTTTCCCCTCAAGTCAAAAATAACCATCTGTGCTTACGGGGGTGGATTCATAAATACAAGTTTCTCTTAGCAACTTCATTTCATGCCGGGTATCTTTTATTTAAGTGTGTTAATTATAAAATTATTGGTACAGATATAACCACAGAAATCTATGATGCTACACACGGTACAAAAGAACAATCAGATAACCGTACAATGCGGTGACAACATTTATTGTACCCTCTATGCATCGGTCTATCTTAAGGTCTATCTGTACATTGGCTTCATACTACACACACTTACCAATACAAAAAGTATGATACTGACAAAGTACAAAACTGTTGCATCTATTTCCCCTAGCTTTTTCTCTGCATATAACCTTTAAAATATGACCTGTTATGCTTAATTAATTCCAGTAAGTTGAATATAGCTTGAGGTTCTCCTAAGAACTTAATTTATTATTGAGTTATATTGAGTGTAAATCTTAAAGCTATTGGTACATTACGAACTTTATTAATATCTAAGTATATGGACCGAGTATTTTAGGATGTAACAGTATCGTCAATACACAGTGCAACAGTTTAATGCATCGACAACATTTATAGTATACTCTCTTATAAGAACACGTACAGAAGAACATGTACATTTGCAATATTTGTTTTAAACAAGTGTTTTAAATTAAAGTTGTAAAAAACTATACAAGCATCAAAACACAATCCCATATTGTAAGTGCTACCTGGTCATCAAAATAACTATGATAAAATTATAACGTTAAGGCGATTCTTGCCGACAAGACATTAAGTAAGGACCCGTTCACAATCACGTCTAAATATAGATAGTTCACAATGTCATTTTGAGATGTGGCGTTATTTTGATTGTTGGAAGGCTCATAAACGATATCCAAGCCGTAGTCCTCAACAGTGTTGCAAGTAAATTTCTTCTGAACTTTTCAAATGTTGTGTCGTGATCGTTGTTGGGAACTTTCTTTATTACTGAGTTGTTTTATATAGGAATTTTTAACAGAAAAATAAGACAATTTTATTTTTTAAGAAAACGTACATAGAAATAAATGAAATAAATGAATACAGTTTTTGATATTTAGTTATCAAAGTTTTTTTCTAAAAGAATGCTGAATGCGCAATTCCAATTTTGCGCAAATGTTTATTCTTTATTAAAATTGTGGTCATTCACTTTGATCGAGCTGCTTATTTTGCAACAAAGACAGTCGTTGTTCTTGACTCTCTTTTTAATCCTCCAATGTTCTCGAAACTATAAATTTTGCATTTTTGTTCAACTTCGTCGCAATCGCAGTAGCTGTAAGCAATGCAATGGGGATCGTCGATACACAACTGTTTACATTTTGTACTATTTATGTTTCTTTCATCATCTAGATCTTCTACATCCAACTCCCTTTTTGTACCTTTAATATCCGTGCCATCAAGTATAAGGTCTTCACTCGACTTCCCAATTAAAAACATGGATTTCCAGTTGGTGCCCTCATCTCCAGAAATTTTCTTAACTGTGCTGTACATGTAACAAGTCTGATAATAGTTTCTATATCTGTCACAAGTATCACAATAAGTAATTGCGACACAATCAATAAGTTTCAAACAATGGTCTATGCATTCTTTGTACGTTGAAACTATTGAATCATAGTAATGATATAGTCTTGTCCCATCAAGCATCATTCCTGGGGTCAGTGATTGGCACGATTCCACTTCACCTTTAGATATCATACTCTGGCAATATGCGTGCTTTGTTTTATTGATTGTTTTTGCAATATGGGCAAGATTAACGGTTAATTCGGCCGGGTTCATATACTTTTCTGTAAAGAGCTCCTCTATCGACGCAAGTTTGTAGCTAGTTGGCACAGGACTGTCCTTTACTGTTAAAGCCCAAGTCATTGCGTCGCCGTTTGCAGGAGGCGCTGCTCCAACTGAAATTGTTTTCGTTTCCACTGATTTTGAAAATGCAGAAGCCTTTAGTTTTTGGGAAGAATCCATAGAAAATCCTCCGCCGACATTGAAAAAACCAGAATAGCTTGCAGAGGCCTCAACGTTGACTCCACTTTCAATTTGAGTTTCGTACTTCTTTGATTCCATTTTATGTTCGTAAGTAAACCTTGCTCCAAATGTGACTTCAGTAGGAAAATGAGTTCCATATGTGTCAAGGAATTCTAAATATACATCAGTGGAGTTTGTACTACTTAGTCTTTTGACCCAGCTAAGAAAAACAGGATCTAGTGGTGGAGGTGACCGCTTGACTAGTTTGCTGAAGTAATAACTGCAGCTCGCCGAGGAGAGTATGTAAACGGACTCTCCAGTTGATATTTGTGACGAAGATGCTTTGTAATCGGCGCTTGCAGAAAAGCTTAAACCCCATCCACTACCACTTACACTGGCAGACACTGATAGTGAATTAGCAAACTCGTATTGTGTTTGAACGACTTTTGATGTAAACGACGTAATGCACGACACGTCCGGGACCACAACAAGACCTTGTGGGACACTATAGCGACAATCGGCTGTTTGCTTTTCGTTTTCGTAATTGGCAGCAAAGATCGGGTACGTAAAGCCAGGATCATGTCCAGTTGCAAGAGGAAAACCACGCAATATGTTGTAACCCATTAAAGCATAGTCGATGTCCGGAAACGAAAGTTTAAAGTGAGTCCCTTGACATTCTTGGAGCAGATAGTCTTGTCGCATCCCTGCATTCAGATTAAGCATATAGAATTGTTAGTGCTTAAAAAGTTGATGCAATTCATGAAAATATACACATCACGCATAACTTGAACATAATCTAACAATTGGTTGTTTATTTCCGTTGACTGTTTAACATTTATTTTGGACACACTGTGTAAGTAGTTTAAACGTTACCTTATTAATATTTACAATTTGTCTTGTGTACGACTGTGCTATATTGCTAGTTATTACTATGGAACTGATTCTTTCCAAATTTGAGATTAAATTTCGTCAAAATACACACGTCATTTAAACCTGTACAAATACTTCAGACATTTAAACGTTGGTCTTGTGTTTCGCAAAATCTTTTTTACAAACAAATCTTGGCTACTTATCGTGTACAATAATGTTATACAAAGGTTTGGGGCAAAATGTTATTTTACATTTTATCGGATAAACACCCTCAGTAGTACCAACTGATTTTAAGTCCAATACTAGTCTCAATCAAACCGAGTCTGCAATTCTCTTGTAATTTTGTTGTGCTTAATGCATCCAAGGGATCACTTTGTTTCCAGATTTTTAGTTTTATGATTCTAGGGTCTTTAAAGCTCACATTCATATTTAGCTAAATCGAGTCTTTTCTACTATTTAAATGTTATATTTTAGCATATTTAAAGCTGTTTAGATTGATTATGTATTGCCAAACTATTTACCAATATTCAGATAATGTTTCTGTGTATTGTCTGATTGTATCTGTCCACCAAGTAATCCATTTGCATGTTGGTTTGACGATGTAAGTACTTCCATCAAATCACTGAAGTAAAATATTCAAATAAGCATAAAAACTAAAAATTAAATTAAATTGAAATAAAATGAAGCAGCTAAGAATGCAGAATTTTCAAATAGTTATAACAATTATATAATAGAGCGTTCTTATTTTGTGCATTCAAAAAATTAAACTTGTCAAGAAATAGTTCATGACTTTAAGAGGGTGACTTTGTTAATCATGCTGATGCTTACTGATCTCAAAGAGATGATAATGGCAACATGACCAGAATCAGTTAAAACATAGATATAAAAAGTTGATTATGTCATCCGGCAAACTTGTTTCACCATCACTTACATCAACTTACTTTGCTAACATGTTTTTTCTTGCATATCAGACTGGCGTTTCCGTTGATATAAAATTCCATGGAAAATTGTTTTATTAAGGTAAAGAATTTTAAATATAATGGAATATTATAAAATATGCAAGATAATTTATGTGACTTATGTTAGCGGTTTGAATCAGAATATCCGTCCCTCGGGAACCCGCCTATGGGCAAAAACTCGGCAACATATGATAGATATTATTATAATAATTATTATTATTATTGAATGGCCAAATTGTTAATTTCTGTGTAAAGGTTTCAAAATCAAATACCGATACTGTGGTAACACATAACAAGTCAGATGATTACACCTACTCAATCACTCTGCAGATTTTTTTATTTATTTGGTGTTCATGAATGAAAATATTGTAACGTTTAAATAGAATAAAACAATAACACTTTACCTGTTAGCGTTTGTTTGAGTATATACAATGTATATAAAACAACTCACAACAATGAGAAAAGCCACTAGATATACCACAAATGTCTTATTCCTACTTTTACAACCCTATAATTAAAATTTAAAAAGGTATAGCAGTATACAAAAATAGCATCATCAATTAAGTGTTAAACAATTTGTTTTTACAGCCATTTGCAATGTTTATAACAATATATAATCATATACTAATGCGTTAAAAGACACAAAATGACTTGTTTTGTTTTTTTGTCACTTTCATCGAGAGAGGGTTGGTTTGCCTGTATTACACTACATGATGGTAAGTCCCAAGTTGTGACTTATTGCCAATAAAAAAAACTGGTAAATTTCTCTGACGTTGAAACAACCTTGCAAAGGTGATTCTCTGAATAGCAAAACATCAGTCAGAATGTGCATATAATAGCTGGCAAACTATTTTACCAAACATTTACAAATTACTGTCTTTATAAAAAAAACCGACATTATTAGTATCAATTTCTTAAGCGTGATGTTAGAAAAACTTACCGACTGAAATGTCTTATGTCTGTAAAAATTAAATATTGAAGATTGTTTTCCACGTTTAACAAAAATAAAATGAAAGAATTTTACACATTGCCAGCACATGTATTTACCTGGCGTCTGTTCTCAATTGCAGCCTCGGGCTCTGCAAAAAGAAAACACACATGTACGAATACAATAAGTGGTCCTAATTAGAGATACAGCAAGAAATGTATTGCAAACTACAAAAGTCCCCTACCGGTTAAAACGCGACAAGAAGTATTTCAGCAACATTCTTAAGGGCAATGGCCTTTTAAATGATGTCGATATTGAAGACATGAATGAACGTTTCAGATCTTAAGTACATTTCATAGTTTGTATCATCGTAATGACAGTCAACGTCATTTACAGATCAAGGTCATACTTAAAGTGGAATATGTATGCAATGGACACGTATTTTTCATAAGATTATTTCAAAATTTTAAGCATTAACATTTATGTCATGAATAGTAATATTTTGTTATGGACCATTTAATTTTCTGCTATGTTAATAAATGTTACTTTGAATTATGTATATCACACTTGCAAACGACAGCAATATATACCATTCTTTCGTGGTTTGTTATTATGTCAGTGTCTATTTTCAACGTTTTATTTTTTGTATTATAATTATTAATTATATTACATACCTTCCACCATAGACCAATTTACTTTAAATTATTCAACATGTTGGTGTTGTCATTAGACATATGAATATTTATTTGAAACCCTATTTTAAAAATTGACTTTATTGCTCAATTATCCAAACAAAATTAAAGTATAGGGACAATGCGTGTTAATAAAGATGGCTGTACTACACCAGCACAAGACAACAAGTAACGCGACCACACTTCCCCAATAGAACCAACATAGTTCTCCAAACTGTCGATATAACTGCTATAGCAAAATAAATTTAACGATCTGAAAATAAATACATTTAGTAAATCTTGATAGGCAGGTGAGAGCTATCGTTGCTGGTGTACTAGCAGGTTTGAAGTAAAAAAAATCAACAACTGGAGAGTGAAAATGATGACATGCGACAACATGTTACTAGACTGGAAGATCGCATAGACAAATTAGAAACAGACGCTGACAATAATTTACACTACAGTAAGTTAACAAACACCGAATCAGTGGTGTTCCTGATGTTGAATCTAGTAAGGAAAATCAAGCCATGTCGTAAGATGTTTCGAAGTACGAACCAACTTCTAAATAGCACAAGTACTAAATGTTGTTACTAGAGGGCATTGGCAGGTCTCGTCATGACAGAGTTTGCAAGCCTAAGAAACCCAGGGATATCATTGTTAAATTCAAATCATGCAGAGCAAGAAACGTAATGTATAAGGCTAGAGTTGACTTGAAAAGTAAAGGCTATCCGAGGGTATTTTTATCAATGAATCCATAACACAGATATGCTCGTCTTTCTTCTACAAGATAGGACAGCTTAAATTGGGCATGCACATCCAATGATAACACCATAAGATGCATTCGCATTGCATTAGCACTCATGTAACACAAAAATGGAGCATCAATTCTGTAAGACCTTCACGTCCATCCTAGCTGTGCTCTGCCTAATAAGATATCAATATCCTATGACTTGCTTGTTAAAGTGTTCCGAAGTGAAGTATAGTGGTGTTGTCAATGGCACAAGCTAAATGTAACGCTACAGTGTATATATTATCATTGATAGTTACTGTCTCATAATCCTTGGCCCCTAGCCCGTAAATTTTATATTAAACAATTGCTTACATTACAAGAGGTAATAATTGACTAATTAAAAGGTTTAAATTAAACAAACAAGTGACAGAACATTTATAGTAACAAGATGTATTCTTTTTAACAAATTGTGACGGTTAACTAACAATTATAATACAATTTACAGGATTGAAGACTCTCAGTTGCCTCCCATGCACTTCTGGTTTATAAGTGTTCATAAATTTAATGTATTGTTTGTCAACATTGACCTGGGACATTTGAATATTCAATGACTTTTTTTTGTAATTATCGGATTCCCAAGAGGTCTTACGAATTTTAAAGTATGGCATCACTGTATACATTTCTATGTATAACTTAAAGTTAGTAACACAAAATTTGCCTCAATAGCCTAATTGACAAAGAATAAAGACTTTCAGTTTCAATTTAAGTATTGTAGGTTCGAATCTGAGTGGAACAAAAAATTATGCGTTATTTTTTCTTTTACTTTTTTTTATCAAACTACATTTTTTCTTGTTTACTATGATTGTGCAAGTCAACCATTGTACGACATTACATATTGAAATTATGAAGAATAACATAGGCATGTACATCAAAGTTTAGAAATAAATAAATAGATAAATAAATAAATTAACTCGTAAATAATCAAATGATTTATCCACTAATGCAGCATGTAAATAATAGAAAAAGTGATGAAAATATAACAGGATTCGACCCTGCAACCTCGCGTTTGCAATGCCATCCTACTTACCACTGGGCTATCGGCAAATGAAAATAAAAGTATTATGAACTTAACTATCATTAAAAAATAAATGGATAAATCGTTATGAATTACGGAAACTAGCGAACATCATCCCGTAAATTAATATTGCCAAACAATAATCGATAATATATTTTTGTTATTTAAATTACGATGATTTGGTATAAATGCATGATTACCAGTTCAATTATAACACATGAGTGAGTGTACTTCTGTATACAATTTTTTATTTTAAATTTAATTTTAATTCTATTGTACTTGCTGATTATTTGTTAGCTCAGGTTGTAATTAAATTTTCAACATTTTAAATAATGAAAAGTGAACAGAAAACTTTTAAAGTTAAGTATTTCCATCATTTTTCCAAATTTTCCCCTTAGATTAAAAATGTTTACATTGAAACAGTTAGACTTATAAATTTCGTCGAATTATTTTTGTAAAATATGAAACAACAACTGTAAAAGTAGTTCTTCCATCATTTCCAAAAAGAAAATCACTTTAGATTAAGTAATTTATAAAATTTCAGCTCATATAAATGAAAAATGAACAAAATTATATTGAAATCAATCATAATCACAGAAAAGCAAAAAATAAAGCTGGTTGAAATAATAATTGCTATATATACACTTACCCTCTATGAATTCTGCTCTGTCTGGCATTGTACACTATAATTAAAATTTTAAAAGGTATAGCAGTATACACAAAATAGCATCATCAATTAAGTGTTAAAACATTTGTCTTTACAGCTATTAGTAATGTTTATAACAATATATAATCATATACTAATGCGTTAAAAGACACAAACTGACTTGATTTTTGTTGACACTTTCATCGAAAGAGGGTTGGTTTGCCTGTATCACACTGCATGATGGTAAGTCCCAAGTTGTGACTTATTGCCAATAAAAAAACTAGTAAATTTCTCAGACGTTAAAACAACTTGCAAAAGTGATTTTCTGAATAGCAAAATATCGGTCAGAATGTGCATATAATAGCTGGCAAACTATTTTACCAAACATTTACAAATTACTGTCTTTACAAAAAACCGACATTATTAGTATCAATTTCTTGACTTAAGCGTGATGTTAGAAAAACTTACCGACTGAAATGTCTTATGTCTGTAAAAATTAAATATTGAAGATTGTTTTCCACGTTTAACAAAAATAAAATGAAAGAATTTTACACATTGTCAGCACATGTATTTACCTGGCGTTTGTTCTCAATTGCAGCCTCGGGCTCTGCAAAAAGAAAACACACATGTACGAATACAATAAGTGGTCCTAATTAGAGATACAGCAAGAAATGTATTGCAACTAAAAAGTACCTTACCGGTTAGAACGAGACAAAAAGTATGTCAGCAACATTCTAAAGGGCAATGGCCTTTTAAATGATGTCGATACTGAAGACATGAATGAACGTTTCAGTTCTTAAGTAAATTTTGATAGTTATTATCATTGTTTTGACAGTCAAAGTCATTTACAGATCAAGGCCATACTTAAAGTGGAATATGTATGCAATGGACACGTGTTTTTCATAAGATTATTTCAAAATTTTACAAAAAAGAGAAGTAATGTATCATTTTAATATTCTTATATTAAATTATTACTTGAAAAAAAGTTGATTTAGTTCTAAGTGATTTAGCATTAACATTTATGTCATGAATAGTAATATTTGTTATGGACCATTTAATTTTCTGCTATGTTAATAAATGTTACTTTAGATTATGTTTATCACACCAGCAAACGACAACAATATATACCATTCGTTCGTGGTTTGTTATTATGTCAATGTCTACTTTCAACGTTTTATTTTTTGTATTATAATAATTAATTATATTACATACCTTCAACCATAGACCAATTTACTTTAAATTATTCAACATGTGGCTGTTGTCATAAGACATATGAATATTTTTTAAAACCCTATTTTAAAAATTGACTTTATTGCTCAATTATCCAAACAAAATTAAAGTATAGGGACAATGCGTGTAAATAAAGATGGCTGTACTACACCAGCACAAGACACAGGTAACACGACCTCATTTCCCCATTAGGACCAACATAGTTTTCCAAACTGTCGATATAACTGCTATAGCAAAATTAATTTAGCGATCTGAAAATAAATACATTTAGTAAATCTTGATAGGCAGGTGAAAGCTATCGTTGCTGGTGTACTAGCAGGTTTGAAATAAAAAATTCAACAACTGGAGAGTGAAAATGATGACATGCGACAACATGTTACTAGACTGGAAGATCGCATAGACAAATTAGAAACAGGCGCTGACAGTTTAATAATTTACACTACAGTAAGTTAACAAACACCGAATCAGTGGTGTTCCTGATGTTGAATCTAGTAAGGAAAATGACGCCATGTCGAAAGATGTTTCGAAGTACGAACCCACTTCTAAATAGCACAAGTACTAAATGTTGTTACTAAAGGGCATTGGCAGGTCTTGTCATGACAGAGTTGGCAAGCCTAACAAACCCAGGAATATCATTGTTAAATTCAAATCATGCAGAGCAAGGAACGTAATGTATAAGGCTAGAGTTGACTTGAAAAGTAAAGGCTATCCGAGGGTATTTTATCAATGAATCCATAACACAGATATGCTCGTCTTTCTTCTACAAGATAGGACAGCTTAAATTTGGCATGAACATCCAATGATAACACCATAAGATGCACCCGCATTGCATTAGCACTCATGTAACACAAAAATGGAGCATAAATTCTGTAAAACCCTCACGTCTATCCTAGCTGTACTCTGCCTAATAAGATATCAATATCCTATGACTTGCTTGTTAAAGTGTTCCGAAGTGAAGTATAGTGGTGTTGTCAATGGCACAACCTAGGTGTAGCTTTACAGTGTATATATTATCATTGATAGTGACTGCCTCATAATCCTTGGCCCAGGGGCCGTAAATTTTATATTAAATAATTGCTTACATTACAAGAGGTAATTATTGACTAATTAAAAAAGTATAAGTGAAACAAACAAGTGACAGAACATTTATAGTAACAAGATGTATTCTTTTTAACAAATTTTGACGGTTAACTAACAATTATCATACATTTTACGGGACTGAAGACTCTCAGTTGCCTCCCATGCACTTCTGGTGTATACGTGTTCATAAATTTAAGATGTATTGTTTGTCAACATTGACCTGGGACATTTGAATATTCAATGTCTTTTTGTCTGTAATTATCGGATTCTTAAGAGGTCTTACGAATTTTAAAGTATGGCATCACTGTATACATTTCTATGTATAACTTAAAGTTAGTAACAAAAATTTGCCTCATTAGTCTAAGTGACAAAGAATAAAGACTTTCAGTTTCAATTTAAGTATTGTAGGTTCGAATCTGAGTGGAACAAAAAAATTTGCTTTATATTATTTATTTTTTTTATCAAAATACATTTTACTTGTTTACTATGATTGTGCAAGTCAACCATTGTACGACATTACATTTTGAAATTATGAAGAATTCATAGGCGTGTATATCAAAGTTTAGAAATAAATAAATAGATACATAAATAAATTAACTCGTAAATAATCAAATGATTTATCCACTAATGCTTCATGTAAATAAAAAAAGTGATGGAAATATAACAGGATTCGACCCTGCAACCTCGCGTTTGCAATGCCATCCTACTTACCACTGGGCTATCGGCAAATGAAAATGAAAGTATTGTGAACTTATCTATCATTAAAAATAAATGGGTAAATCGTTATGAATTACGGAAACTAGCGAACATCATTCCGAAAATTAATATTGCCAAACAATAATCGATAATATATTTTTGTTATTTAAATTACGATGATTTGGTAAACATGCATGATTACCAGTTCAATTATAACACATAAGTGAGTGTACCTTCTGTACACAATTTTTATTTAAAATTCTAATATTAAATTCTATTGTACTTGCTGATTATTTCTACAGTTGATATTATTTTCAACATTTTACAATAATGAAAATGTGAAACAGAAACTTTTGAGGTAAGTATTCCATCATTTTCCTAAATTTTCCCCTTAGATTAAAAAATGTTTACATTGAACAGTTAGACTTATAAATGTCGTCGAATTATTTTTGTGAAATATGAAACAGCAACTGTAAATGTAGGTCCATCATTTCCAAAAAATTTTCACTTTAGATTAAATAATTTATAAAATTTCAGCTAATATAAATGAAAAATGAACAAAATTATATTGAAATCAATCATAATCACAGAAAAGTAAAAAATAAAGCTGGTTGAAATAATAATTGCTATATATACACTTACCCTCTATGAATTGTGTTCTCTCTGGCATTGTATTCTATAAGTAAAATTAAAAAAGGTATAGCAGTATACACAATATAGCATCATCAATTAAGTGTTAAAACATTTGTCTTTACAGCTATTTGCAATGTTTATAACAATATATAATCATATACTAATGCGTTAAAAGACACAAACTGACTTGATGTTTTGTTGACCCTTTCATCGAAAGAGGGTTGGTTTACACTGCATGATGGTAAGTCCCATTTTTTAAAACAACCTTGCAAAAAGGATTCTTTGAATAGCAAAACATCAGTCAGAATGTGCACATTATAGCTGGCAAACTATTTTACCAAACATTTACAAATTGTTGACTAAAATACGACATTATAAGTATCAATTTCTTGACTTAAGCGTGATGTTAGAAAAACGTACCGACTGAAATGTCTTATGTCTGTAAAAATTGAATATTGAAGTTTGTTTTCCACGTTTAACCAAAATGAAATGAAAGAATTTTACACATTGTCAGCAAATTTATTTACCTGGTCTCTTAGACGTCTGTTCTTAATTGCAGCCTCGAGCTCTGCAAATAGAAAACACACATGTACAAATACAATAAGTGATCCTAATAAGAAATATAGCAAGAAATGTTTTGCAAACTACAAAAGTCCCCTACCGGTTAGAACGCGACAAGAAGTATTTCAGCAACATTCTGAAGGGCAATGGCCTTTTAAATGATGTCGATATTGAAGACATGAATGAACGTTTCAGTTCTTAAGTAAATTTTGATAGTTTTTATCATTGTTTTGACAGTCAAAGTTATTCACAGATCAAGGTCATACTTAATCATACTTAATGTGGAATATGTATGCAATGGACACGTGTTTTTCATAAGTGTATTTCAAACTTTGACAAAAAAGAGAAGAGATGTATCATCTAAATATTCTTATATTAATTATGACTTGAAAAAAGTTGATTAAGTTCTAAGTGATTTAGCATTAACATTTATGCCATGAATAGTAATATTTTGTTATGGACCATTTAATTTTCTGCTATGTGAATAAAAATCTGGAAACAAAGTGATCGATCGGAAGCATTAATCACAACAAAATTTCATAAGAATTGCAGACTCGGTTTGATTGAGTCTGTATATGAGGGATAATAAATAAGTGCAACATCCCTCACACCCCATTGCATCGGCTTGAACGGTACTCAATTCTCAAACTTAATAGTGCTGACAATGATCCCGACGGACCAGAAAAATATAACTACACTGAAGTGAAGTACGGGGCAACTTTTTACAGCTGCAATACAGCACTTGACACCTGCTGTTGTGAAGTATAAAAATGTTACTTTGGATTATGTATATCACACTTGCAAACGACAACAATATATACCATTCTTTCGTGGTTTGTTATTATGTTAGTGTCTACTTTCAAAGTTTAATTTTTGTATTATAATTATTAATTGTATTACATACCTTCCACCATATATCCATTTACTTTAAATTATTTAACATGTTGGTGTTGTCATAAGACATATGACCATTTATTTAAAACCCTATTTCAAAACTTGACTTTATTGCTCACCTATCCTAACAAAATTAAAGTTTAGGGACAATGCGTGTAAATAAAGATGGCTGTACTACACCAGCACAAGACAACAAGTAATGCGACCTCACTTCCCGATTAGAACCAACATAGTTTTCCAAACTGTCGATATAACTGCAATAGCAAAATAAATTTAACGATCTGAAATACAAAAACATTTAGTAAATCTTGATAAGCAGGTGAAAGCTATCGTTGTTGGTGTACTAGCAGGTGTGAAATAAAAAATTCAACAACTGGAGAGTGAAAATGATGACATGCGACAACATGTTACTAGACTGGAAGATCGCATAGACAAATTAGAAACAGACGCTGACAATAATTTACACTACAGTAAGATAACAAACACCGAATCAGTGGTGTTCCTGATGTTGAATCTAGTAAGGAAATCAAGCCATGTCGTAAGATGTTTTGAAGTACGAACCAACTTTTCTAAATAGCACAAGTACTAAATGTTGTTACTAGAGGGCATTGGCAGGTCTCGTCATGACAGAGTTTGCAAGCCTAAGAAACCCAGGGATATCATTGTTAAATTCAAATCATGCAGAGCAAGAAACGTAATGTATAAGGCTAGAGTTGATTTGAAAAGTAAAGGCTATCCGAGAGTATTTTTATCAATAAATCCATAACACAGATATGCTCGTCTTTCTTCTAAAATATAGGACAGCTTGAATAGGGCCTGGACATCCAATGATAACACCATAAAATACACCGCATTGCATTAGCACTCATGTAACACAAAAACTTTAGCATATATTTCGTAAGACCCTCACGTCCATCCTAGCTGTGCTCTGCCTAAATAAGATATCAATATCCTATGACTTACTTGTTAAAGTGTTTCCGAAGTTAAGTTTTTGCGAGAAGTATAGTGGTGTTGTCAATGCACAACCTAGATGTAACGCTACAGTGTGTATATTATCATTGATAGTGATTGTCTCATAATCCTTGGCCCCTAGGCCGTTAGTAATCGAAAGAGCATCGAAACACGAGGTTATCTAATTTGTACGAGGGGGCGTAGCCCCCGATTATTAATCAGATAGCCAAATGTTTTGGTGTTCTTTCTCTTTTGTATCATAGTCAAACATAAAAACACGTTCCCTGTTGTCACAATATGAAACCCCGGGAAAAAGTAACCAATGAAGGGGCATCTGAATATGATTTTTCTGTCGCTTTCCCTTTCTCTTCCGTCACAATAAGTAAACTCCAGCAAAAATGAGCCAATCAATGGGCATGCTCTGGAGTGCGGGTATCTAATACCTGCACTTCAGTTAACGCACTGTGCATGTATATAGATACGATTTATCTCTGACACATTTTCAACAGAAAGGTCCCCAAACTATGATACAATTTCATATTAAATAATTGCTTACGTTACAAGAGGTAATTATTGACTAATTAAAATGTTTAAATGAAACAAACAAGTGACAGAACATTTATAGTAACAAGATGTATTCTTTTTTAACAAATTTTGACGGTTACCTAACAATTATCATACATTTTACAGGATTGAAGACTCTCGGTTGCCTCCTATGCACTTCTGGTTTATAAGTGTTTATGAATTTAATGTATTGTTTGTCAACATTGACCTGGGACATTTAAACATTCAATGACCTTTTGTCTGAAATGATCGAATTTCCAAGAGGTCTTACGAATTTCTAAGTATGGCATCACTGTATACATTTCTATGTATAACTTAAAGTTTTTTGTTTTTTGTTGTTTTTTGTTGTTTTTTTGTTGTTTTTTTTTTCAATTTCAGGCCTCGAAGGTGACCCCATTTATTGCCTCCGTCGCATGACTATTTAAGGGTCGGAGGTCCATCCCTTAACAGTCTTACAATAATGTGTTAAAACATGAAAAGTTAACATAGTATTAACATAAAGTAAATTACGGCAAACATTTATTTGAAAAATTGAATATGTAAAGGAGGTTATTAGTTCAAGACATAGAAAAATATTACTACATCTACATTATGCCTTAAACAAAAAACATAATTACTTTTTTCTATATTTATGAGTAATACACAAACAAATGATACTAATGGGTATAAGGATGATTATTTACAAACGAAAACAACAATATAACACAACAAAAACATCAAAGACAGATACTTTGCGGCCAGGGCACGTTCAAAAATACTACAAACATGAATTTATTCTTCCATGTATGCTCAAACAAAGCTAGGTATGAAAAACTGAAAAGACAAAGGTCGCTCCTAACATCAACATACGAAAAAGTATTTTGATGATTCACATTTGTCATTATCAGATTGGAACAAAAAAAATTGGATAGGTCTCTATTATATTATGATTAATGACATATATTTAAAATAGTATGCCAATCTTTTTCAAATTGGTCAAGATTTCCACATTGGATAGCTTTTTCTTCATTTACCTTTAGAACATATGAAATATACTTTATACGAGCACCAGCAAAAGATAGCATTGTTTTATTAGTTTTACATTTAAAAATATACATTTTGACATATAAAAGAACTAAATTGTTTACAATATTTATTGTATTGTTTCCTTTAGTGTAACCAAAAAGCATAGTTTCTTTATTCAAGTTTGGCATGTTTAGTTTATCTATACAAATTTCGTGTATTAGTTTATTGCTGTGAATGCATTCCCAAAAGATATGTTCTATAGTTTCATCATGAAGATTACAAAGGCTACATAAGGGACTGGTAATATATTTCATTTTGAACAAAAGATTATTTGTACCCAAAATCCTATGGATAAGTCTTACTTGGAACCATTGTATATAAGTATCTTTTCTCAATTTGAATGGTAAATTATATATATTCTTCCAGTATTCATCGTCATTTGAGAGGCATAGTTTTGTGACCATTTGACCTGACAAACGGGCTTGCTGGAATTGACATTAAGCGAATCATACATATATTTTGAGCCTTTTTGGTCTTTAATTATCCTTTTTATGTGTATTGGAATTGTTGGGATTTTTTCTCTCTTAAAAGTTAAAGGGTTGAAGCAGACATTTTGAAAAAAGGTTGTAACTGCTTTTTTAATTCCTAAATATAAAAGATGATTGATATTTATATTGTAGATCTTGCCTAACTCTTCTGGTGTATAAAACTGGCCATTTTCTTGTAAGATATCATAAATACAACGAATTCCCTTATCATACCAAGATTTCCAAAAAATACTTTTCTTGCCAATAGTAATGTTGTGATTGTAAAATAAAGGTAAGTTACAAATGTCTTCTTTATCAAATTTCTGATACTCAATAAACAATGAAAATGCATTTAAAGTGTGTTTCCAGAATTCATTTTTAATAGATTTTGACATTTTCTCGACATAATGCTTTCCACACGTGACTAATTTATGTACATCAATATACTTATCCAACAACCATCACTTGAAATAATTCTTCTTATCCATGTAAGTTTTAACGCATTCATAAAAGCATTTATATTTACCATTCTTAAACCCCCTTCCATGTAATCTTTAACTAACACATTTTTATTAATTTTTGAATTTCCATTCCAAATTAAAGCATATAATGTATCATTAATTTGTTGTATATATTTATCCGAAGGATTCGGCAACATTAAAAATAGATGGTTTAGTTGTGAGATAAGTATTGTTTTTATTACTGTTATTTTACCGATTGGAGTCAAAGCTCTTCTATTCCATTGTTTAATCAGTTTTTCTATATTGGATATTGTTTCTTTAAAGTTAAGATCTATCATTTTTTCAAGATCCACATGGAATGTTATACCAAGCATTTTGAAACTAGTTTCGTTCCAATTCATTTTCCATCTAGTTTTTATGCTATCACTGCTGTACTTTTTAATGCCTATCCAAACAACCTTTGTCTTTTCAAAGTTCACCCTGAGCCCCGAGATCTGAGCAAAAACTGATAAAACATAAATACATGTCCATGTATAACTTAAAGTTAGTAACACAAAATTTGCCTAAATAGCCTATGTGACAAGGAATAAAGACTTTCAGTTTCAATTTAAGTATAGTAGGTTCGAATCTGAGTGGACAAAAAATTGCGGTTTTTTTTCTTTTATTTTCATCAAAATACATTTTTACTTGTTTACTTAGATTGTGCAAATCAACCATTGTACGACATTACATATTGAAATTATGAAGAATTACATGTATATCAAAGTTTAGAAACAAATAAATACATACATACATACATACATAAATAAAGAAATAAATAAATAAATAAATAAATAAAACCGTAAATAATCAAAAGATTTATCCACTTATGCTGCATGTAAATAAAAGAAATAGTGATGGAAATATAACAGGATTCGACCCTGCAACCTCGCGATTGCAATGCCATCCTACTTACCACTGGGCTATCGGCAAATGAAAATGAAAGTATTGTGAACTTATCTATCTTTAAAAAATAAATGGGTAAATCGTTATGAATTACGGAAACTAGCGAACATCATCCCGAAAATTAATATTGCCAAACAATAATCGATAATATATTTTTGTTATTTAAATAACGATAATTTGGTAAACATGCATGATTACCAGTTCAATTATAACACATGAGTGAGTGTACCTTCTGTATACAATTTTTATTTTAAATTCTAATATTTAATTCTATTGTACTTGCTGATTATTTCTACAGTTGTAATTATTTTCAACATTTTACAATAATGAAAATGTGAAACAAAAACTTTTAAAGTAAGTATTCCATCATTTACATCAATTTTCCCCTTAGATTAAATAATTTATACATTGAACAGTTAGACTTATAAATGTCGTCGAATTATTTTTGTAAAATATGAAACAACAACTGTAAAAGTAGACCTTCCATCATTTCCAAAAAAAATTTCACTTTAGATTAAATAATTTATAAAATTTCAGCTAATATAAATAAAAAAAATGAACAAAATTATATTGAAATCAATCATAATCACAGAAAAGTAAAAAAGTAAAGCTGGTTCAAATAATAATTGCAATATATACACTTACCCTCCATGAATTCTTCCATGGTTGGCATTGTTCAATCTTGTGAATATTTCAATCTTTCCCAAATTGAATGTTAATGAGCCAAGTTGAAAACGGGTGTGTAAAGTAAAAGGTCAAGTAATAAGGAATATAAACCTTTACCAATGTCTTATTATTTTCTACGAAAACGTTCCTTTTACAAGTGAGATGAATGACGTATATCCAATTATTTCTGCTAAATAATTTGACTTTTGGTCATCCGTACATCAATAGACATCCAAACGTAAAAGGTAAGTCAAAATTGTTTGTATTGTCAATCCCTTAATGATCAATCGTACAAGACACTTGATTTAAGATTTTTCTTCATTATAATTAAGTACATTAAATACTTTAAACAAATAAAACCAAAAAAGAAGTATAATTTTTTGTTTAATGCATGTTATTTCAAATTTCAAAACAATATATCATTTATAAAATCTTTCTTAAGGTAAGTAATGGCCTAGTAAGTTACTGTTTTAAGCTGCCTTTTGCATTCACACTACAATTGTACGATCCGATAAATAAAAAGAATAGTTCTTTTGAACATTGGTAACTTAATGAATGGGATTTTGTAAAATGACCTGGTACATTTGTTTGACTTGTGTTCTTTTGTTACTAAAATAAACCCCCCTTTTGTTAAGCATAGACATAGCAATCAAATTACAGAGTCACGCCTAATGACTGCTTCTAGTGTGTCTTAACCATTAATTCTACCTGTGTGAATTATTGACTGCATTCAAGCATATTGTCATCGGATCTGGTACCCCCTGCTAAATCTTTACACAACTCTTCCTTCTCCAATCGGTGTTCTATAATTTGACTATTTTTGTGTCACAGGGCTATTCGACCGCTTACACATCATCTCCCCTTTTAAAATAGTGAACAGTTTTGAACAGTAACATTTGATTTCATTTAAAAATAACTACATTTCAGTCTCCTATCAATGTCTTATTTGGAGAATACAGTTCTAAAACTTTCCGTACACCTGTCAATGTACCTCTTTTATGTTATGTTTGTCTTTTGCCTGTTTCAGGTATATCATATTTCTTCACCTGACATGTACGACTTACCTGATATTATTCAATGAAGTAAACAACAATCGATAAATATTTTTGTTATTTAAATAACGATAATTTGGTATGCCTGACACATAGTGAGTGTACCTTCTGTATAAAAATTTTTATTTTAAATTCTAAATATAAAACTCTATTGCAACTTGCTGATTATTTCTACAGTTGTAATTATTTTCAACATTTTACAATAATGAAAATGCGAAACAGAAACTTTTAAAGTAAGTATTCCATCATTTTTCAATTTTCCCCTTAGATTAAATAATTTATACATTGAACAGTTAGACTTATAAATGTCGTCGAATTATTTTTGTAAAATATGAAACAACAACTGTAAAAGTAGATCCATCATTTCCAAAAAATTCCACTTTAAATTAAATAATTTATAAAATTTCGGCTAATATAAATAAAAAAATGAACAAAATTATATTGAAATCAATCATTTTCACAGAAAAGTAAAAAATAAAGCTGGTTCAAATAATAATTGCTATATATACACTTACCCTCCATGAATTCTTCCATGGTTGGCATTGTTCAATCTTGTGAATATTTCAATCTTTCCCAAATTGAATGTTAATGAGCCAAGTTGAAAACGGGTGTGTAAAGTAAAAGGTCAAGTAATAAGGAATATAAACCTTTACCAATGTCTTATTATTTTCTACGAAAAAGTTTCTTTTACAAGTGAGATGAATGACGTATATCCAATTATTTCTGCTAAATAATTTGACCTTTGATCATCCGTACATCAATAGACATTTAAACGTAAAAGGTAAGTCAAAATTGTTTGTATTGTCACTCCCTTTATGATCAATCGCAGCAGTTCTATACAAGACACTTGATTTTAAGGTTTTTCCTTTATTATAATTAAGTACATTGAATACTATTAACAATTAAAGCAAAAAGAAGTATAATTTTTTGTTTAATGCATGTTTTTTTCAAATTTCCAAACAATATATCATTTATAAAATCTTTCTTAAGGTAAATAATGGCCTAGTAAGTTACTGTTTTAAGCTGCCTTTTGCATTCACACTACAATTGTACGATCCGATAAATAAAAAGAATAGTTCTTTTGAACAGGGATAACTTAATGAATGGGATTTGTAAAATGACCTAGTACATTTGTTTGACTTGTGTTCTTTTGTTACTAAAATAAACCCCCTTCTTTAAGCATAGACATAGCAATCAAATTACAGAGTCACGCCTAATGACTGCTTCTAGTGTTTCTTAACCATTAATTCTACCTGTGTGAATTATTGAAGTTGAAAAAGAATCTTATCTCTGACTGCATTCAGCATATTGTAATCGGATCAGGTACCCCCCTGCTAAATCATTTACACAACTCTTCCTTCTCCAATCGGTGTTCTATAATTTGACTATTTTTGTGTCACAGGGCTATTCGACCGCTTACACATCATGTCCCCTTAAAAATAGTGAACAGTTTTGAACAGTAACATTTGATTTCATTTAAAAATAACTACATTTCAGTCTCCTATCAATGTCTTATTTTGGAGAGAACAGTTCTAAGACTTTCCGTACACCTGTCAATGTACCTCTTTTTATGTTATGTTTGTCTTCTTTGTCTGTTTCAGGTATATCATATTTCTTCACCTGACATGTACGACTTACCTGATATTACTTCAATGAGTAACGAAAGGTTATACCCATATTTGTCTTGAAATCAAGGCAAACACCTTGAAAACCCATACAGGTATTTCTATTATGGTAACATTACATCGTCGTCATGTAGACGACGATGACAAAGCAATGCAAAGAGGAAGCGAAACAAACCAAACTAAAAATAGAATTCCTGGTATGTAAATTGAATAATCCAGACTATTGATTTTACCTAACTTTATAAATCTATATTGCGACAGACCAAAGCTGGGTCTTCTCAAGATAATAATCAATTTCTAGGCAACCGGAATTTTACTTCTTTCGGTTTATTTTCCCGAAATCGAAGTATCATACCTCTCTGAAATATAGTATTAAATATTATTTTGTGAATTTTGACTTTTTAAGATACTGTAACTCTGTAAAACTTTATATGATATTTATATATCTTGAAACCACCCCTATATGAAAGAAGGTTAAGTAGGTTGCCTAACTTTAAACAATGATCATACGATATGGCAAACACATACATTTTTCAAATGTACAGACTAAGTTTGCAAAATCAAAATATATTTTAATAATATCTGCCTTTAGTGATTACTGGGCTGGGTACCTCAAAACTTATTATGCAAATAGTTTTTTAAATATATAGAGCACTACTATCTTTCTAGGCAGCAGATTAAAACATGCACTATGGTTGGCATTAAGAACTGATTTTCCTAAATTTAAAATTTTGATTTAGTCAAGCAAATGTTTTATTAAATATATTTACAAAGTAACTATGAGAAATATACCTCTGTTTTTGCTAATTTCTACTGAAATTGAAAGATTGAGAATAATGTTTCATGTGTATCAATTATCAAATTAAATCAAGTTTCTTTGATTGTATAAATGTAGATATTTTATATATAGTATATTATATCAAAATGAAATATTAGTAGAGGCTCAATTTTATTACAAGTAAAATGATACAACATTTTCTATTACATGATTTGATTAGTTATCTCTTATTTTACTTTTAAATGTTTTTATATATTTTTGATTATGGGGTCGTTTGTGCAAGCTTAGAAGGTTTGAATATGACAATATTAAATTATCTAAAAGGAAAGTCTATTGATCTAAGGTATTCTGTAAAAATGTAGGAGGAATATCTGTAAGTAGGTTTTGATGCTTGTATTTCATACTTAGAGGATTTGGTTCCAAATATTGCAAATACATCTTCTTTATCAAAAAGAAGAATGAATGGTATGTCAAACAGAAATGTTTAATTTTCCCAAAAGGGTTTCGTTTCAAATTCACTTTTACAACAATATTTATTCACTGTACAGATAAAATGAATGTAATGAATGTTTACATACACTTGTAATATAATGAATTAAGTATATAATCGTAATTGTTTTTTATACATGTATGATTGTAACAATAATGCATCTATCAAATTGAATAAATTATCATCCGAAGTTACATATTCTGATACACCCAAATGTGTAAAATAAATGTTGTTTTATTTCCATATATATACTAACAAATAATATTGTTTAGATTGTATTTTATTTCATTAGTAAAAATGATGAAGTTTTTTGTTTCATCAAATGTGTTTGTGTTCTGCATAGAGTGTTCTTATTTAAAATTTTACAATGATGCATGTTGTTCCTAAAATGGGACACACCAATACTGCTAAATATTTAATATGTATTTGACAAAAAAGCATATATTTTATGAGCAGAATAAGGTGTACATCATTAAAATGGTGTTTGCTTTCATGCATTTAAGATGTTTTCATTTCAAATCTTAGCATAAAAGCTAACATTTATTAACTGAAAACCATATTTCTAAAGGTATACATAAGCAAAGCCCATTCACCAGCTGACATCTCATAAATAAAATTAGCCACACAATGCTCTCTTTCAACATATTTTAAGCTTCAAACTTCTAACATGTTGTAAAATAATTGTTTAAAGAGATAACAAACTCTTCCAATGTTTTTTGTGCAATATTTTAAAATAAGACCTAAGGGTTTACGTGCCCTTAGCGCGTGAATAATGATTTTCTTGCAATAAGATATTAGCAAACACATTAATTCAGATCAATAATTGCTGTCCATACGTATGCTTTCCAAACAACTTTGTGTAACAGTGGCACTCTGATATCATCATCGTTTGATATCAATATTTTGTGAATTTTAAGACTCAGACACATTCTTTAGATTATTTTTCAACATGTATTTGCCAATTCTCTTTGAATGTCCATAGAGCCCTAAGTATACAACAAAATTGCAAAACATTTTAACATCTTCTTTTTTAAAGAAAATAATTAGATTGAGTCTGGCTAAAAATATTCATTTGTACTTTTACAAATCATCAATTTTCAAAAGAACCATTGTCTCAGGTCATAAGCATGATCATCAATTTTCAACTCAGGGTATAAGTTTTATCTACTAATCTCGGAATAATTCGAATTAATGACATCATAATCATGTCTCAATTTTCAAAAGAGCCACTGTCTCAGGGGATAAGCATTACCTACTTATCTCGGATTAATGACGTCATAATCCCCCTCCATCTGAAAAAGATATCCTCCTAAAAATTATCATCTCATCATGTATATATAAACCACAGTCATCTATGATGCAACCGTGCCGTTAACACACGGCACAAAGGAACAACCAGATAACCTTTATATGCGGTGACATCAGTTATTGTACCCTCCATACAATAAATCTATCTAACACGTAGC